GAACCAGTTTGCTTGTCAGAAACCCATCTGCTTGGAAACCAGTCACCTATGTGGTCCTCTTGAACCTGCATACCCACCAATGGACTCACCACCAAAAAACCTCAAAGTGAAAGACTGCAAATCACTCAGCATAGGAGGAAGTGAACCAGGAACCAGAAGAGTTCCTGATACGTTGAAGAGTTGCCCAGATGATGTGCAAGAGCTTGGGGCTCTCCAGAGCCCTCTGAGCAACCACAGCGTGCTCCTGTGGTTTTTCATGGAGGGTCAGACCTAGTCCACATGCCTGGAATACTGTAAACAGAAGGTCTCCTCCATCCCAGAAGGGTTTGTGCTGCAGGCCCAAATCCAGCAGGCACAGGATAACTGAGCCCCATGGTTGCTGAGCAGTGAGTCAACAGGTCCCCTCACCCTAGGCCAACACATCCATGACCTTAGAGCAGCCACCTGGCTCACGCTGTTGCTGGTGCAGAGCACCTCAGAAATACCAGGCCTCAGTCCYCCAAAATGAATTTCTTATTCAGACAAAACCCTTGCTTTTGCCAGTGGGGGCCTGCTTGTTAGAAGTTAATGAACTTTCTTCCCCTGACCAGCTCTCACCTCAGAGGTTCTCCATAGATTTTTTTTCTCCTGATACAGCATAATTCCATGCACGAAAAGAGGATATCACAAGCAATTTTGGTGAAGGTATTTAAACCATTTGCAGTTCTCTCCACTYATTTTAACTACCCGCATCTTTTCAAACACTGCTCACAGATTGATGGGCAAACAAATCATTGCAGAGACCACAGAAAATGCTATTCTGTCAARGGTAAGAACAAGAAAATAACCTTCTACATGAATCATTTAACAGCTCTTTTGTATGTAAATATATCCTTAGCCCATAAGCATCTATGGGGAGTACGATTTACATTTTGAATGATCAAAATGTTTAGCATTGGCAGAGAAAATGTTTAAAAAGAGAGAAGGCGGTGGTTTAAAATTTAGAAACTTAGTCAGCCGTGCCAGATAATGATCTCAGCTTCTCTCCCTCCAACAAATACCATGCTCCATAAAAACAAAATGAATTAGAACAAAATGCTTTTAAATTGAAATCTGGAAATTCCCCCTGATTTTCAAAAGGAAGAGGAGAAGGCAACAAATGTAATAAATTTCAACAAATTAGGAAAGAAATATAAAACTTGGCCTATTAAATGGGATTCAGAGAAAAGGAAGCACAGGAAAGACTAACAAAGTATACAAAGCCATAACATTTGCAGCAGCTGTGTTATGAAACACACTTGGTATTCTGGGAAGCTAGGAACAAAGTATTTTGTTAAAGCACTTGCGGATGTACTGGTGGCTGCAAAAAGAGGGACAAGGCCAAAAACTGAAAGTCAGCTGCAAATGCTCTCTGGTGTGGCCTCCAGGACTTCATTTATACTGCAAGTCACTGAAACAAACCCAAAGCATCCTCCCAGTCTTGACCAAGTTGACGAGCAAGTCATTTTCTCAAGCACTTGGTTAGTCCTGTCTTTAAAACAGCAAAAAGTCAAACTCTTGCTTTTTTGGGGAAAAAGATAAATTTTGCTAACAGTGCACTAGCATAACTAGATTTCATGCTTTTAAGATGTTTTTGGGATGAAGGGAAGAGGTAATATGGGAATAAGTATGTGCAGCTGGTATGGAAAACAAACCTGACAACTTAGAGCTGGGGACACCATCCTCAACACAGCCCCCATCTATGGGCACACTCGATCCAGGGAAGGCTCTGGTCAATTAGAGCTGTTTCCCCAAATGACCCAACTACTCAGGCAAAAATCATGGCCTTGGTAGCCAATGAGCACAGATTAAGCCATAAAGCTCAGATCCAGGCCTTATCCAGCCTTCAAAGGTTGAGAAGTCTAGGTCTGACAGCATTTTGAACTCAATCCTCATGTTTCAAGGTCAAGTTTTCAACTGCTGTTGTGTCTTGTTCACTCAAAACCCTTTCTCAGGCATCAGGCTCAGTAAATTTAGATTGAATGCATAGAATATCCACACACCTCATGTGGATTCTATTTGAATGAAGGTTGAATTCAAGCAAAGCTCAGAAGCACAAGCCAGCCTGCTGCAAAACTCTTCTTGGAAGCAAGCAGTATCAAATTCAGGTCCCTTGCAACTCTGATGTTAGGACTATTTTCAGGAAAGGAATTAAAATTTGGAGAAATGGCATTTACCTGGGAAATACTATTTTCCAAAAACCTTGGCGACCATAGTAACATGATTTACTCCATACTATCTGCAGGATAGTCAATTAGCTCTTTAACTGAAAGAATTATCATAACGAGAGACATACCTGGCTGGAACAGCTACTGAAATGCTGCTTACGAATGGCAAAGCAGAGCATTCTCACATCCAAATTAGCAATCAGCACAGCTGATCACGGAGGGCATTCCTGGCCCTGCTTTATCCTCAGCAGTACAAAAAGGGGCACATTTGTCAGCTCAGTGCTGGCAAARCTCAGTCAAGAAGGTTCCAGAGCAGGTCCTTGCCACATCTGTGAACCTGCTTGCAAAATAGCTAGGTATAAATCAGAGAATTGCTGTTGCCTGCCTCACGTTGGGCTCTGCAGTCACAGATACAACTATTGACTGCAAAATTTTAACACAGGAGGATTCAGCAAGCAGATTACAGAAATCCACATATACTAATATGCAAAAAGCAGGCTGCATCATCTCAAGCATTAATATCCTTGTCTTTATTATTAATATTTTTATAAGGTGCCATGCAGAAGCCCTCATTTGCAGGCACCTCTGCATTTGTTTTTCTCCTCCTCACATTGGCTCTGTTGGAGCGTCTCTGGTTTTACAGCAGCATAAACATGACCAGATGTAGTTTTGAGATGGAATTTAGCTTTAGCTCAAGTTGATAAGCTGTTAGCATCACTTCCTTTATAATACATATCTCAAAATGTTCTTTGCATCTTTGAAAATGTCAGATACCAGCCATTGGTGGGGAATGCAGGGGGAGGGGAAAAAAAGGAAAAAGGAAACCATCAGTTTTAATTCTCCTAAAATAATATATCAAAATTTCTGGGCTGTTTTTGTGTATCCTCAAGGTCTTTTATTCAGCAAAATAAACATTGTGTAAAGCTGATGCTTTCCCACCAAGCTACTAGATTTTTTTTCCTTCTCTTTTTAAAGCATCACAGCACCATTTCCCAGGTTAGGATGCTCAAGGAACAGTCATTCCCAGAAACACACTCTGGGAAACAGCTGTTCTCCAGAACAAACTAAGTGCTTCCCCCACAGAAAAACGCTTCCAGGCTCACAGCCCTTACCCAGCTTTGTATACTTTTAGTGGCTTTATATTAGTTAAACAGTCTGAATTTCTCCCCCCTGCATCTGCAGGAGTCTCCACAAGGCCTTGTAACCATGTTGTAGGTGGCACAGCCACCTCACACCGGTGCTGTGTAAGCCATGGATGTGGAGAGCACAACAAAACCTCCTTTTACCTTGTATGAAACCATCACCATCTGCCTGCATCTGTCCAGACAGGAGCAACTTCCCACGATGTTCCATAGAACAAGCCTAAACTGAAGGTGCTTAAGTTTTCTTTCCACCTTTCTTACTAGATGACCTTAAACCTAAATATTAAGTTTATTAAGAGGCTAATTCCGCTCTATCAATTTAAAGGCAGAAATCCCACAGGCAGGATCCCACATGTAGGAACGAGGGACCTGCAAGTTCTTGGCAAAAGTTTATGCACATTTGATCTCTAACTCATCCCTTTCCACCTGGATGGTGCTAGCAACATTTTCYTAAAGCTCCAGAGGTAGCCAATGGAAATGGAGAGGAAAAAATTTTAAAAAGATGCTGTAAATGTAACTAGGACAGCAGCTGGAGAAGAGAGAGGGAGGATGTTTATGGACTATTGCTTGACAGGATATTCTTACAGTATAAAAGCAATTTCCTTCTGACACTAATAAGCAGGAGCAGGCACTGGATTTGGTGGCTTTTCTCAGTCCTTTACAGAATGAGGACAGAAGTCTGGCTGTTCCATCACAGTTATCCGTGGTGCTCAGGCACCCCGTCACCCTTGCAGGAGATGAGCAGTGATKATGCATCTGGTACCTGCCCCTGCAATAACAGAGCTACATGGAGAAGATTACAAGAAACTGCCTGGACCTCAGCCCAATCCCAGAACAATCCCACCAACAATTTCTGCAAGTCCGATCAGTTTTTATGGCTTGTCTCACAAGAAGGCTGCTAAAATCTACTTGAAGGAGAGGCTTAAAAAAAGAATTTTGCAGGCATTTATTTCTGGCCAAATTACAGTTGCTTGAAGGAAAAAGAAGCCACCATACAAATCTTGTTAGAGACTTTAGCAGGAACTTGCAATCCCATGCAGAACTGAGATAAGCTTAAAAAAAGGCAGAGCATCCAGGATGGAAAGGCAGCCCAGCCAAAGACAGCTCTAATTCCAGCCCGTGACAGACCCCTGGGGCAGCTCCAAAGCCACTTAGCACAAGCATGGAGCTCAGCCAGGAGGGAGACGCTGGCACCAGGAACAGAGCTCTAGCAAGTCCAGATTGCAGTTCAGTGCTGGCTGTGGGAACAGGCTCAGACGGACTTGTCACCCGCCTGGGTTCTCCTAGGCTGTGAACAGCCCCACAGCCCCRATATGCTCCAAGGCAGAGCGCTCTGGGGACAGGGATCAGTGTGATCCTGGTAAGGAGGAGCATGCACAGGCCACAGGGTAATATCACATCTGCTAAGGACACCCAAACTTGCTGGCAACGTGCAGCATATCTTGGCAGGGGAGCCGTATCAGCTGYCTGCAGGCCAAGGTCTAAAGGGCAACGTGTCTTCAGAGGTGCCTATGGCTTCAGGGAGCAGCAGCATGAGGGGAAGCGGCACCTCCACAGCAGCCCATGTCTCCCTGTGGAGCTCAGGAGTCTCAGGTGGATCCCACACCTGAGAGGGCTCAGGCAGCTGGGTGGCTTTGCCAGCGCTGGCAGAGCACCAGTGACAGCAGCAGCAGGGTGACCAAGYGTGGTCAACATCTCCTGCAGCAGGACGAGATGCTGCGGGTGCCGGGAAGGGGGCTGCGCTGCCCAGTGCGGGGCAGGACCCGGGGCTGCTGGCAGCCCTACCAGACAYGGGGCTCCCCAGCGCGAAGGGCACTTTGAGCCACAGGGGAAAGCAGAGGAGCAGGAGCCGGGGCTGGGGAGCAGAGGCTTCCAGCAGCAACAGCCAGGTTCTCCCGCAGGCTGCATCGCACTGCTCCAACATCTCCAAATACAGAGCTGGCTCCTGCATGGCAAAAACCCTGGAAAGCGCAGGCTGGAAGGTTTTTCCTCTATGGCAGKCACTAGGGAGCAGGTTCCAGCAGCCTGGTGCAGGGAACCAGGTCTGCTGAGCACTGTCTCTGCTGAAGATGGAGCAGGAAAGCAGGGAGGGTATATTGCACATTGTGTCACTGTTAAGCAGAAGAAGAATCATAAGTCTTTAGAAGTCTACCCAAACTCATAATTTTAAAGCACAGAAATGAATATACACTGGAAGAAACACTACAGCTGCAACAGCCTCAGTGAAGCTATTAACAAAGGCGTCATAACAAGCAACACATCCCAGTGCAGTCAGCCCTGTCTCTGGTCCATTGGGTCCTTCTCCCACTACTCTTCTTTCCCTCACACTATTTGTTTGCTTCATTGTTAATCCTACCTAATTTTAAAAAAGGAAATTGATTTCTTATGTATCCATTACCAACCAAATAATTTCTTTATTACAGCAAGGATCGTATTTCATAAGTCAGTCATGGAAAATTAAATCCATGCCTGTTGGTTTGATGAAATAGTGGAGAGAAACGCTGGAGGAGAAGATGCAGGCAGCTGGAGGCTGTCGTGCAACCAGGGGTGCCAGTTAACTCTTTGCAAGCACCCAGGCAGCTGCCAGCCTGCTGCGAACTGCAGGTTGTGGTTCTKGACCTTCACTTGGGCACTAAGATGCAGGAGGCACGAGGAGGACTTCAGCTGCTCTGGCCGAAGCAGCTCCCTGATTTCGGTGGCTGCAGATAAATTTGCTAGCAGGAGTTGCACAGCCTGCCTGTGTGCAGAAACAGAGACATTGCAGTGTTAAACCAGSAGCATCTCCTTCCCAGCTCTTCTGAAACATAGGCTTTTTTGCACAGTGATGGGATGGTGAAGAGAAGCGGAGTGCATGAGCCCTGCTCCAATAATGCCTACTTTGGGGATAAGTAGGCAGAGAACAGCTGCCTTGCTCCAACTGGGAGCTTTCTCAAGTCAGGCAGCATTAACACCCTCTCATCTGATATACTTGTTTTTGAAATGTAAATGGTATTGGCAGATCAAGATATGCCTTGGCATTCATCTAAATTTGAGATCTAATAGATCTCTTCTGAGACACTAAGGCATTTAATGTCTCTTCTGAAACATTACAACACACTTGTCTTGCAGTGTACTCGGCACAAGAACTCGTAGAAAGCCATATTTTAGCAGAGACATCCCCATAGCATAARTATTTCCAGCGCTTGGTCTTATTAAGCCACTGTGCTTTGCCACCAGGTAGGGAGGATTTAGACTGAAAAGCTGCTTTTGCCTTAGGAGAAAAGACCATTGCACAGAGGTTATATTAGTACCACAGGCACCTCAATCAGATGAACCAGCTGGCAATGTTCTGTGACACAGGGCAGATCAGATTAAAAACAAATCCAGTCTGTGCATTACTATGGAATTATRGACTGCTCTGTGAGCTTCCCTGCAAGGCAGACAGGACATGGCTCCTCCAGAGAACAATCCAGATAAGCCCCGCAGCCCACAGAGCATTACAACATCCAACCCAAAGTTCATTGACTGCTTCATTAACATGCTGATCTCTAGGAATTGCAGCCAAAGTGGCAAAACCTCTCCTATTTCCCTATCAGGAGCAAAGCTATCAGTGAGTTATCGCTGTCTAGAATGCCTTTAATCATGTACTACCAATACACATACTCACATAAACACGTTGCCAGAGGAATAAGAATAAGCCAAGCTATCACTACAGACAATGAACAGGCAAGGCCYGAGTGAAAGGCAATGCAAGACATCACACCAGTAACTTGCACCTTGCTGCCACATCTYTCTGCACATACCCTTTTCAACAAGAAACTCTTTGTCTTCACCTCTTTGGTTTAAGAGCATCATGTTTTGGAGAAAGCACCCACCTTAGAACATCTTGCAACAAGGCGCCACCCTGCAAAGCCCACTGTGGTTCAGGGACTCACAGGGGTTCTTTTTGAACGTTAGGACCAGAAAGATCTCACATTCATTTTGAAACCAGCTAAGAGGCCTGTAAGCTCATCTGCTTAACCTGTTCTCTTACCTTCTCTGGGAGGAGGCCACAGGACCATGTAAATCTTGAAGCACCCAGCAGGCATTTGCTAGTTCCCTGCAAGAAACTGCCTGACAGAGCCAAAGAAAGTCTTTTAAAACTCTGTGGTCTCTTTGTGCCGATGTATCTCAGGATTAGGAAACAAATTTTGTAACTCAGTGGGAGCAAAGGAAAGAGGCTCCTTTCAGAAACACCTTATACTCCTTCTAAATCCCCCCAGTTCCRAAGTGCCCATCTAGAAGACACAACACTGGGAGATACTGTATTCCTCTTTGCTAGTTTCTCTGTTGAATGCTATTAGGTAGAACCCACTTTATTTATATGGTGAAGATCCCCCAAATGGTTAYGGCAAACTACTGGAAGCTGCTGCTAAGTAGCTCTAAGATCAGGCAGTGGGAAAACAGAAGTTACCAGAGATTTCTGAGCCTGTAAATTTCTGCTACATAAGAGGCATTTCAATTACCCGTTACTGAAAATCATTTATGTTGCTTTCTAGTCTGCCTGACTGCATCCCTAACTTTGTCAGAAATGCAGTCATCTCAATAGTTTCCATCAGCATTTTAACGATTATCAAACACATTAAAGAAATTACTCTCAAAATGTTTCTTCTTCAGAAAATATCCTCCAGGAGTTCTAGATGAATATTTGTTTTGATAATATATTTGATAAGACAGCCACCAAAAAAATCAGAAATATAAACATTCTCATTCGCACTTACAAAATAAAACAGACTCACCACGCTAATATTTTAAAGAAACCACAGGATGCTTCAATTAGCTGCATTTGCCACTCTGACAGCAACAATATCTTCCAGACAGAAACCAAGACAAGATACAGTAATTAGGTCAAACCTTGGGGATAGAGCTGTCATCACAAAACATAAATGTAAATTCATCTCCCACTGTCCAAGCTCTGTAAGTTGTTACTATTTGTTTATCTAGGCAAGACACACAAGAAACAAGATTTTCTTCCTTTTAATTCTTCACAATTAGCTGTGTTTAATTAATCATCATTAATTATTTAAGGCAAACTTAGCTTTCCTGACCCAACAGCAACATGTCAACTGATTAACTTTACAAAGCCAGCAAAGCGATCCGTGCCAGATCAGATCCTGCTCTGCATTATTTAGGCTGAGCTGGTCCCTGTTTTGCAAACACAAGCAAGCGATGGGGAAGGCACAACATGAGTCCTGCTCAGGTGAAGGAGACACCCCTGGTCACTTACCACCTGTGGAAAGAGAGGAGAAGGAAAAGGAGGAGGAAGAGAGATGGCCCTTTGCTAAGGTTGCATCTCCCATGGGTAAGGCTGCATGGGCCTAGGGCAGGAAGGAACAGGAAAAAACCTCCCAGCTCCAGGGTGGGAATATGCTGGAGACACCAGCTCCATTTCAACAAGTCCAGTCACGTAACCTCCCTTCTGCTTCATCACAGGGGATTATCAGGCAAAAATAGTTAATTTTGTACAGATAACAYCCATCTTTGCCTCAAAGCCAAACCTGCATGTAAACTTTCCAAGAGTTTCTACTTAGATTCAGATCCGAGCTTTGCAATGGGAGATGCAACACCTTGTATGGCCTGATAAATACTGCAGTAAAACCAATTCCTGGAATAATTTATACGCATTGCAARGAAGTGATCTGCTTAGATATCCCCATCTCTAGTATTCCCCATCTCTGCTGTCCAATAGCTGTGGCTACACAGATAAGTGAGAAAACACTCGTTGCCATACTGACTTCAGAGAAGAAACAGATGAGGTTTGATAAAGTAGTAAGTGAAGTTCTCCTCCAGGCTACCATGCAAATACATAGTCAGGCAAAGGCTGTTCAAGTATAGAGGCAAAACAGACTGCTGTGACGATTGGAAATAGCAGCATCTCCAGCACTAACAGGACAAAACCCTCCTGCCTTACCTTTCTCCAAAGCCCCTCATCTAAAGGGCTCCCAGCCAGAACAGGCAAGAAGAGGGGAAAAGGATGGGCAGACTCCAAGCTTGGAGCAGAGATCAGGAAGAAGCCACAAAGGAGGCAGGTTTAGGCCCRGCTCAGGGTCACCATCCTTGGGAGAAGCAGGTCCCTGCAGGTGGCCCTGCCAGCAGCAGTTTTGAGACAATCTGCCTCCCTCCTGAGCTGGGATTCCTGAGCAGAATTATGAGCCATGTTAGAAAAAACAGTAGAGCCTTCCTGCCAAATTGCTAAGATTCCAGGGTTTTTTGTTTCTGTTACATCCTAGCAATTCCTCCCAGTATTTATTTCTACTCCACTTTCTACCTCTGGGACCTGAGCAAGCCATTGAACCCAGATTAAATATGTCACAAAAGAATTCAAGCCTCATCATAGCCAAAATATTGGTTTCCAATGAAACAAAACAAAAGCCTTGGAGAAGATAACTATTTCAGCAGCCCATACCGTCATGTAAATAGATGTTGCTGAGGGAGACCAGGGAGATAAGAACTACACCACTTCCCCCAAAAACAACTCAGAGAGGGAGCATTCAAATTCAGACCTGCTTTTCCCAGCAGTGCTCACCAGGTTAACTCCAACTGAAATAGTTACATTAAAAAAGAAATCTCTTTAACAGGAACATGAGAATTCAGGCTTCACAGCTGAGCGCCAGCGAGGYATTTCCTAAGGGCCGGTTTAATTTTGAAGCCGTAGGGTATGTGTGATTTCCTATCAATGAGACATGGACTAAGCAGACCTCAGACTCAAGGGCAACAGCAACCTGGAAGTGCTCGGTATTTATTTTGACTGGAAATGCATATTTTTARAATAGTCTCCACTGGCAACCTCCAGACCAACTGTGCTGCCTTGCTCCAACTGCTCGAAAGGGTGAAACTGCACAGAAGTGATGAACACAAAGCTAAAGGGAGCCACTCAGATGTCTCCATCCTTAGAGGCTTCCAAGGCTCAGATAGACCAATTTACAGGTGACCCAAACTGGTGATGGCAGCAGCTCTGCTTCAGTTGGGAAGCCAAAATAAAGCCCTACCAAGGTCCCTTCCATTCCCCTCTATGTACAACTGAGCGACAAGGGATGACTGTTAGATTGACCCCTAAAATATCATCAGGGAAAAGCAGGAAAGAGGAAGCTTTCTGTGTATGTGTTAATTAATATTGAACCCTATAAAGACTAATCACATATTTAATCCAGTGAAGAGGTTACTTTACAGCCTGCTCATCCATTCCTCTTAGGGACACCCAGGCTGGGCAAAAACACTCAGGAATGCAGTTCCAACTCACTCTCTGGCGTAACATGTTTGTTCAGAGGCTTGTCAGATTCCTGTTTGCAGTCGGCTGTATTGGTGGTACGACTGTACTTTGGTCGAGGAACATTTCACCTGAATGTATTAACTTAGTGCTATATCCACCAAAGTAAACATTTTATTTTCAGTGAGGAACACGCATGCCACTTTGTTAAATAAACCAACAGACGTATTGACTTTGTTTGCATTCAGTCTTTTTTGGCAAATTCCTGGGGCAAGCTGTGCTGCTTTTCCAGAAATCACTTAGATCTTCCTGGCCTGAAGAGCTTCACTTTTYAAGGAAGGGAGTGTCTGAGCAGTTACATGGAGGCTGGAGCACTCCAAAAATCATGGCACCAGCCCATGCCATGGGCGATTTGCTTTTTCACAGGGTCCTGCTCCCCAGGCCCAAATTGCTCCCTTGCAAGGAGTGGGGGAGGCTGGGGAGGACCATAGGCTGCAAAATCAGTTTACTTTTATGGTGAGATTTGCATCTTTGATGTAGAAGAGCACCAGGGATTTCAGAAAGGCTGCACAGGGATCTGTCTCTTCTGAAAACACCTCACATCCCAAGCAAGTGGGTRAGGGCTCTTGGGCCAGGAAAGCCCTAGTCAAGCAAACAGGCTGCCATGTGCAAAAGTTCAAGTCTCCAGGTTACCCCCCTGCCCACATGAAGCCTCCTTCTCTGCCCAAAGCCAAAAACCAGCTCCATAATGCAAAGAAAATCAGCCCTGAGCCAGGTTGCTCCCTCCTGCACATTCTGGAACTGCGGGGCCAGCCTGGCAGACCCCATCCTGAAAAGCAGCACAAAGTCCTTCCACGTAACCCACCGGATGCCTGGTCAGGACAGGCTGGCACATGAACAGAGGGCAGGTTGTCTTGGGTCATTTAACCTCTGCATGGAAGAAGCAGACAGCGTCTGGGTTTCTGAACTGGACCTTCTGTTTATTTTAAAAGGACATCTGGTTTTATAGGCAACACTTCAGCAAATTACCGCAGTACAGCTCAGCGTTCATGGTGCAGGAAGCTTCCCGTGGCTGCTCAAGCCTGACCTGGTTTAGAAGAGAGCCTGACATTACCCTTCTTGGCTGGACCAGTCCCGGTGCCTGCTACCAACGCAGGCTGCCCTATGCTTCCATTACCAGCTAAGCGTGCTCACCTTAACATATGTGCTGAGGACCAACAGGCTGGTAAGTGCTGGCTCAGCTAACATGCCACCAAGCTATATTGATTTGCCACGTATCAGAGCCCTCCACTACGATCAGTGTTTAACCCCAGTATCCTAAGATGACCCGGATGAGAGGTGCTTCACAGCTGGATACTGGCCAAAGAGTTTAGCCAGCCTAACAAACTTTGAGGCCCACTCTAAGTGAGCCTAACCAAGCTTTGCCTCAGATGGCAAGGTAGATTTGGCAGCATCTACACTCRTTTGAGCCAGGAATCCCTTTCCCTACCTAGAAACCTTCTCTAGGTAAATTTTGTCCCAAGTAAGGTCAATAGCCGTAGTTTGTCACATATAATCTGGTTAAGTAACACAGTGCTTATCTCCAAATGTAACAGTGAGCAAGGCAAAATAACCCTGCTCTCCCTCCTGCCTCAAAAGGACAAGTAACCAGAAGTTTCAGTGTACTAAAATCAAAAATCAGGACCCTCTTGATTGCTGCATGTTTCATCTACTGAATCCAGCCCACAAGTCAAAGCATGGAACAGTATCAACTGTGGAACTACTGGAAMAGTATCAACTGTGTGTATATTGGATTACTAATATCCATTATAAAATGACCGACATTACTACCCTATTGAGACAAATGATGGTGGTTAAGTAATTGCTGCAATATTGAAAGATAAGGAGACTCTGATGCCCATTAAGCTCTGCACCACTAAAAACCAATTCTGCAGGTCACTGTGCTGAATGCACTTGGTCCTTGCACAGAAAAGATCATCAGCAGGATCAAGTCTCACTTAAATGACAATTATGTAAAAACCCACCCAGTCAGCAGCACCACAGAAGAGTTTGGACAGCTGAAATACAGATTTACTCTGAGTGCACATTTAAATGCATGTACACATTTTTCTTTTAAATGAAATGCCCTGTTTCTGCAAATCTCCTTTCCAGTGAAGGTGTGCAAGTCAGCTAACAAAAACCCATCTTYCTAGCAAGATCCACCATACTTCCACACAGAGAGGCCAAACATCAGGACAACATCAAAAGATAAGGTTTCCATACCTGTCCGAAGCCAACTCAAGGACACTCCTGGAGGGACTCCTGCCCTTCTAAAAGGGGGACTGCTGCATGACCAAACTGTGGACTCCACATCACGATGCTCCTGTGGAAAAGCAGCACTATCAGAGCTTGACCTCTCCTTTATCCCATGTACCTCTATCGTGGCCCATCTAACCAAAGGGTTTGTCTCTAAGATAACCAAAGCATGACTGGATTTGCAACCACACACAGGGCTGCTGCAGAAGGAAGTAGTTAGCACAGGAGCTGATCCTGTCCCTGGGTGCCTCAGGCTGACACCAGCCCTGTCCGTGAGAAAGAGCAGCACATAAACCCATAGGAGCAGAGCGTAGCTCTCTCCAAGCTTTCCCAGAGCACCAGCCCCACACATAGCTGAACACACCAAACACAAGTGACAACCGGACTTTCTTGCCAGCACTGGCTGTGTGTCCACCCTCTTCAGACAACAACTCAARAGCTGGTGTGCAATTGCACCATCTAGTGACAACTGCCCATCAGCCACTACTCCACCACTGATCTGCTCCATCAGCTGAGCCACAATCAAAAGCAGCAATCAGAAGGCCACCTGAGCAGGACTAGGGCCAAGAATGGCAGAATTGCTATCATCATTATGGAGTCACCTGCTTCACCCCTATAGCCTCCATCAAAACAGTCSCTTCTACATGGTTAGATATTGAAATGCAGAAGGTTTTTTGGATGCTTCTCTGATGTCTACTACAGGTTAATTGATGTCTGGACAGCTAGCTAGATCACCAGCAGCTAGGCTGTTCCTTCTTCAAATAGGAAGAGATAGGAGCTCCCTCCCTACACTACAGGGAAATATAGGCCAGTCCATGGATGACCMAAACCTATTCACTGGGTCAAATCCTCAGAGAATGTCTCAGCTATGGGTCCTGGKCATACTTTCAGCAACATGCAGAGCCCAGCATACACACAGAAGCAAAACACCTCATAGGTGAAGTAGTCACAGAAGCATGCCAACTTCAGAGGAACAAACACACCAGCCAAGCAAGACCTCAAGCCCACAGCAAGTCCTCATTACCCTGTAGGCACCACTCTCTAGCCATCCTTCTGAGCCACACTGTGCTTCTAAGGGATCACCAGGAGCCTCCCCACCCTGCCAGAACAGAACCAGGACCACTGCTTACCACTGTCCTTTCTGTAATCCCAGATCTTCCCTTTCACCAAGTCCCAAAATCAAGCCAAGGGCTTCTTCTCTACTCACTAGCAGCACCTGCCCAAAAGGAGTCACCACCTTCACAGCCTCCCTCTTATAGGGGAGGCCACCTCCAGCTCCCTCTTCCCCCAGGTGCAGCTCATCAGCAGTAATGGGGACCTGCCCTTAACCCTTTCCTGGCCAAATCCCACTGCTACTTATGCAGGTTGATAGGGATGTACAGGGAGGTGATGGTTACCCCATCCCTTGGTGCAGGGCAGAGATCTACTGAGAAGGATGGTTCACTCTGGGGATGCCTAACAGAGAATGCACTTCCCATATCYCAAACTTCACTCAGAGCCTTTCAAAGAGCCTCGGTTTTTTTGGGTCTTGCCTTGTATGTCCCCATATGTGTTTCTCAGCTTCCAGCCATCATTSGGACTGCCCTCCATCCTGCCCAGCTCTGCTGTGGAACAGGACATAGTCAAGTCCTCCCTTGCTTCCCCGGGGGTGAGGGTGACCTAACCCCAGCAATGCTAGTGGATTTACACCTACGTAACTGGAGCGAGGAGCTGGCTAGGCGCCCACAGTTGTTCTCTGCAGAGTAGTTCACATTTAGGGCTCAGTTGTACTTCATAAATTTCYCCTGGCTTCAGTAGGGGATGTACCAGGAGATTAATGTGATTTGGGCGATGATGTGTCAGCCAGATGGAGATTCCATGCCTGGACTCTTGTACAGGATTCCTCAAGCTCGGTCAGGGCAGAGCACAGCCTCATTTCCCATAGGAGGGAAGGCAGAGAGGCTGGAGGGACAGGAACCCTGGGCCAGGCTTCCTCACATGGAGGCCCTGGGTGCTGCAGTGCTCACACTCACATCTGCAGAGCAGGTGTGAGACCCAGGTCTCCCCCAAACTGCTATGGGTGCCCAAGGCCAGCAATGGGAAGGAAAAGATCCCTCCAACAGTCACTAACACAGCGCAGGCTTTGTGGTGACCCTGCTAAGGTGCCAGGAACCCCAGCGAGCTCTTGGCCATGCTGCCACCCTCCCGGCTGGGGCTGCCAGTTCCTGCGGCGGCCAGGACGGGCCTGGCCAGGCCCCCATGGCTGCTGTGCAYGCTTACGCTGTGGGGTGGCCCACGTGGCTTCCATCAGGCCTGCAAAGGGCAATTTGCCTCAGGAAGAGCCGCTGCCTGGAAGCCGGCCAGGCCCGGCTAGCCAAGGAAGAGCGGCTGACACGTGCCACCAGCGGCAGAGTCCTTGGGGACCTGCACCACCCTCCTCCCGCGTCCCCTCAGCCTGTCCTGCTCACCCCCAGGCCTCTCACACTTGGCATTTTCCTGCTTTTCCCCTTGCATTTGGGRTGAAGGGCACAAATGGAGCAGTATCCCCCCACCCGCCTCCTCTGTCTGGCAGGTCTGTGGTATTATTAAGACACTTGAGATTATGGTTGTCTAAAAGTCRAAGAATGACAGCAAAGAAGCAGATGCCATACACTGATAAATTACAAGAGCATTATGCAGAGGCAGCTGTACCATATAAAAGCCTAGTTTTTATACCATGTCATGATTTTCCATGTGGCATCGTATGGTTCCAGCATCTGGGCGTCACCATCAATGTCTCCCATATATTTCGCTGAGCACTGTCATTATGATAATGAAGAAATTGCGGCAGACGCTAATTGTGGTTCCCGCTGGCTATTGCACGAACKGGGAGGCATCGAGCAGGCTGGCAGGACCCCCACAATCTTGCAGGGGGTTTCATCACTTTGTTGGCAGCAGAAGAGAGGGGGCCCTGAGTGGCCTCGGGTGCGGCAAGTGGCCACCACGCTGGTCTCTCCCAGCACTCAGCCCTAAGCAGCTCTGACCAGCCTTGGCCAGYACCCTGAGATGGAGTTGGAAGGTCTCTGTCTAATTTCACCACATAGATATGTAAATTTGCTTCCTCTGGTTGTTTTTCTCAAAAACAGTTTTACCAGAGGAAAGCTGAAGACTGCATGGGAAGGAGGTACCCTCTCCCTGCTCCATGTCCTGCTCCCACTTTGGATTTGCCATGGCTGGGCAGCAAAGCCACCAGAAGAAGGAGAATGTTCCCAGGGTCAGCCAAACTGARTCCCCAGGACAGAAATACCCTGGGGGCTGCCAAGGGCATGCAGATGAACAGCAACCCCAAAACACCTTRAGACTCCTCATGAAAGGCAGATGAGGCTAGCAAATCTCATGGAGTTACATGAATGTAAATGAAACTACTCATCAAAGCAGCAAATGTTCCCAACTTCTTATCAAAGTCTCTGTTGATGGCTTTAGGAAATGACCAGGAAGCAACATGTTCCTGCTCCAGCTTTTCTTGGGCATCTTCCTTGCCCACATCAGATAGCAAAATATGGAAATATTTTTGCATGCAATTAGGACTGTCCTGGACTGCAGGAGGGTTAGAAAGGCCAAATATAGAGACATGCCTTTATAGTTCAAAGGGGACTATATTTTGAATGTTTCCAGATTTGGAATTAATTAGGAAAATGGACATGTTCTGTTCTACCAGAAGATCTCCAGGTACATTTGCACCTTAGAGACACAGTTTTGAGCCAGAAGCCCACGTCCCCACCAAGAGCCACCAAGCTGCTGCAATGAGAGATGGCTGCTGTGGCCGGGAGCAGTTTGCACCCCTGTAATCCCTTTCTGCAGCTCTGCCAGCCCTGGCATTAGCTCGCAACCAGGTCTTCCATATCCCAAAGCATGAGAGAGAGAGAGAGAGAGAGAGAGAGAGAGAAGCAGTTTTAGGAGTCCCTTTGCCTTCCTTCCAGGCTTTTGAATTGAGCAGCTGCTCCAGGACTGCCTGCAGAGCTGCTCCAGGAGCTGGGGAGATGTTCTGGGAGCTGTGAAGGCCGTGGTCCTGTTCGTACAGGAGGCTTTGCCACCTGCCAGCCCACAGGGTGTTTCTGCCATGGACACTTTGAGTCATCTGGAACTGGGGACACGCAACAGAAGCTGCACAGGGACAGACGTCCACCATGGGTAGCCCAGCTGCCGTCCTGTGCGCGAAGAGCTGCTCATGCACCCTGAGGGCTCAGCGGCCAAGGTTGCCTCCCCCAATTAATGTATGTCCTTGATAAATCTCCAATAACGAACTGTTGTCTTCAGCGGGCATTTTTTCCAATCACTGAGCAGCCCAGAGAGTTGATTTCAGGAGCAGGGAATTAAGAGGGATCAAAGAGGTRGAGCGTGGTTGTCAGGAAGACGGTGCAGGACTGTCATGTGCTAGTGCTGGGGAAWCAGTGATAAAAATGACAGGAGCATCTCTACATGGATTGCAGCCAAGGAGGGCACTTTGTTCACTAGAATCAAAAGCATTTTATGTGATACTGAAACAAAAAAAAAAAAAAAAAAGAAGCATTTGTTAAGATCAAACAGCATTTAAGGCAACTATTGTCAAAACTCCAGTTAGCAGGAATAAAAAAGGAGGGAGAAAAGCCCACAACCACCAGGCATTAAAACCATTAGGTGGTGGAGCTGGACACGACACCTTGGCAGGATCCCTCAGCCTGGAGTCGCCAGTGAATTATTCTTTCCCTGTGTGCTGGTGATTGAATTACCTCCTTGCTCAGGTATTGCCCATTCACAGATCTTTTCCTCATCAGCACAGCCTATGAAGACTACAGAGCAATTAAAAACCACACACAAACACACACACACACACACACACACACACACACACAGAGGAAGACAGTACAATCCAGGCACCTTGCCCAACCTGTGCCCTGGCTGCTTAGAGCTCCGTGAGGATTTGTGAGAATATTTCAGGTCCAGCTCCAGCCAATGCAGGTAGCACCAAGCTCTCATGTAAAAGCAACACCATGGCAAAGTGAGGCAACCACTGTAAAGCAGGCAAGTGGTATCCCACAGACCACCACAACCTGTTGGGAAAAGCACTCCCAGCACAGGGTGCTGCCAGGTGTCACGTAGAGGCTGGGACCAGGAGCAGAGGAAGTGTATTTTAATTTAAAATGTTACCTTCGGTCACAAAGTTCTTGCTCTGAGAAGCCAGCATTTARCTAAAAGAGAAGCTTTAGAAGAGGGCGTTATGGTGGGTTTTCACTTTTAAAAGTTGCACCAGACACATTAAATAACAAAAAGCTGATGTACATTTACCCTCCATAGGAGGTTATGGTGTGGAAGCCACCAGCTTGGGGACACCATGCTTGCCCACAGACACCTGCCACAAAGCCTTCCTCCTGGGCTCCTTCTCCTTCGCAGATGCCTTGAGGGAAAGGAAAGGCCTGGGGGGCCCAAAGGAGAATTTCCTGCAGGGAAGGGATAAAAAAAAGAAACAAGAAAAGAAAAGAAAAGAAAAGAAAGGGAGGAGAAAAGAAAATGAAAAGGTCTGCCCATCTCAGCCCGTCGCTGCCTGGCACCTGTGTCCCAGGGCAGGCGGCCAAGGCAGTTGAGAGCAGGCGCGATGCCATCGCAGCAGATGGGCACGAGCGTGGCAGCCACGAGCCCGCATCAGCCTGGGCTGGTGGCTGGTGAGGGCAAATTTGCCAGCTGAGAATGTCAAAACAGCTGCCAGTCTGCAGTTCACACACCTATAATTAAGGGGGTATGTGATTGCTAATCCAGCTCAAGCCTASCTGGATTAATTGGCAAATCTAAAAATAGCATCTTTGACCATGTAAGGAAGCTTCTGTGCACGGGTTAAAGGAGGAAAGTGGGCTCTGGGGGCTGGAGTAGGCAGGGAGGGATCTGCTCTGCATCTGGAGAGCTGCTATTCACCTGGTCCTGCTGGGAACCAGGGATCAGAGACCTWCCCAAAGCCACAGCCTTGCCTGGGACAGCAGGAGAGGCAGGAGGAGGATAGGGGGGCAGCTGCCTTTAGAGGTGCCCCCTCTGCTTTGTGCAGTGGGCACCTTGGAGAAGCAGATCCTCRGTGGCTCTGTCCCAAAGACACCTCAAGTTACCCAACCGCTTTGCACTGCTTTGCACACTCTGCACATTGCAGAGCGAATTATCAGCTGTGCTCCATGAGCCCCTTCCTTTGCGGACGGCTGATGTACCCCACGCCGCACCGCAAGG